CATGCTGAAGGCCGAGCCAGATGGGCCCACACCCTGGAAAGGCCTCGCTCAGAGCCCCCGGCATGCAATGCCCAGGGCCCTCGGCGCCCTCTCGATGCAGACAGACTGGGCTGACGGGGCTAGAACGGGTCCCCCCGTTACCTCTTCCCACCCCAGAGACGGAGTCTCCGCCAGCCGGAGTCGGGGAGAGGAGGGAGTCCTGGGGTTGCTACTGTGAAGTCTGGGGGTGGGGGGAAGGGGCTATTTAAATGCTCTTATTTATATTATTTATAATTTATGCTGTTTAACTATTTATTTGCCAAGACACAAGGGGCAGCGCTGGGTCCCAGGGCTTCTCCATATGGGTCCCCAGGGGAGCGTTCAAAGCTGCTGGCACAGCCACCAGTCCCAGGGCAAGCTGGGGGAGGGCCGGCAGGGCAATGACTTTGCTGCCCAGGACACAGGGCATGGAGGCATCCCCCGACCAGAGCCGCGAAGCTCAGCTGGGGTCCCGCGCCCCTGCTCCGACGCTGGGCTGCGTGGCTCATGAGCGGGTGAGTCAGGGCAAAGCTATTCTCCCTCGTCTTCCTCCCTGCCCCTCGCCACGGCAGGAACAAAGCAGCTGTTTCTATGCAACTTTCCAAGGGGAGAATGAGCGATGCTGTTTCCACGTGCTCCGGGCCCTGCGTGCGCTGGCCATGGGGAGGGCCCTGCCTCCTCCTGGCATGCCCAGCTGCTCCTGCCACAGGTGCCCACCACCACAGAGCTTCCTGTTTCCTACCTCAGCCCCCTCCCTGGATAGCAGTGACTGCACAGTTCGTGCTGGAGGGCGCTGGCCCCAGAGGCCAGGGCGCCTCGCTCGCAGTGGGGATGCATGGTGCAGCTCTCAGCTCTACCCCAGAGCAGGGAGGCGCACCTGTATCTTCAGCTGCCCTCCTGGCATGCACTCTGGTCCTCAGCGTGCACGTCTCACCCACGCTCCCCTCGTCCACTCTTCCCCAGGCATCCTGCCTCGCCCTGTGACAGGCTCCACATCCCAGTGCCATCATTCACCCATGCACCTTCCCTTACCAGAGGTGCAACTTCCTAGGCACAGTCCTTCTTGCTGCCATGTGTGGATGCCTGAGTGTACAACCATGCACGCACATGCAGAGGTGAACGGCTTCATGCTTCCTCCTCCTCCAGGGGTGCAACCTCACGGGTGCCTCCTGCTCTGGGCACATGTATGCACATGTGTGTTACAAGCGCTGCATTCTCCTTGCCCGCACACATCCATTGTGCAAAGCTGTCCATGCACCTGGACTCATGCACACACACACCACACGTGCCATGCAACACAGTGTGTTCTCCCTCTGCCCCTGTCCCTGTGCTATCCCCCTCATCCTAAGCAAAACTCATCATCCTCTGGGGGCAGGAGTTGGACCTCCCTGTAGCCAGCTCTCCCTGCCGCTTGCCCTGGGGACAGCAAGGGCGCCCTGGGGCCCTGCTCCATGTTTATATTGTAAATAGGATCTCCTACAGCAATAATTTTCTGTGCATGATTGATTTTTCTGCCAGGTTTTGTATTGGACACATCACAGCCAGACAAGTCTACTGAGAGCCGGCCACCTGCAGTATTACTTGTAATGCCATTCAGGGATATTAAAGGGGCTTCTGCCACTCGTCCCCACGTCTCCGGAGATCTGTGCCGCTGGCTTTGGGGAGGTCACAGCCGGAGCTGGAAAAGCTGGGAGCACGGTGTGATGCTCCCACCACAAGCCCTGTGGTGCCCCGTCCTTGAACCCTCTGCACAACTGCGAGGACAGGGGTGTTGCTCTGAAAACGTGTGTGAAAATAATCCCTGAGCCAATCTCGTCTACACTGGGGAGATGCCTTTGTCACACACCTGCTGGGGCCACTTGGTGGAAATACTGCCATTGCTGATGGTTTTTGTGCAGGAAAAAGAGGAAATTAAACATCCTCTCTCCGCGCGTGCTGCAATACAGACCGACCGCCTGTTATGAGATTAGCTGCATGCACAAGCCAAAAACCTATGCGCCGATCAGGCCACCGTGGCCACCCCCCCAGGGGCTCAGAAACAAACACAAGTAGACCCAGGAGACTGTGCCCATCTGTCTGGGTGCCCAGCTCTGTTCACACGTCGCCTGCCTCTAGCAAGAGCCTGGGGCTTGTCACAGCACAGCGGAGCCCTGGTCCCTCTGGCCCGACAGCTGCCGTTGTCTAGCACTTCGGGGAAAGGTGTCACCTCCCCATAAGGCTCCGGGATGGCCTCTCCCTCCCCTTTCATCCTCCGTGAGCCCCGAATGCAACTGGAGTGCAGGGTGCTGAGCAGCTCGAGGCTGCTCTGGCCCAGGCATTTAAGGAGGGGAGCAAGTGGGAAGCCTCAGCCCCAAACCTCTGCTCTGTCCCCCCCTCTTGCTCCTAGGCTCCCTCACTAGCTACTTTCCTGGGCGTACCGGGGCAGAGTCCCGCTTGCCCCGGGGGCTTTTGTCACCGGTGCCCCTGGCTCTGAATGATTCTGCGAGCAGCCACCCCAAGAAGGGCATGCAGCAGCAAGCAATGGACTCATATTAAAAGCACCCTGCTCATTAAAGGCCAAGAGCCGCAGCAGAGCGCTGGCCTGATGGGAGAGGGAAGTGAAGGCTGAAATCAGAGCCCCGCGGGGAGAAAACGCCCCCTCCCCAGGAAGGCCTTGCCAGACGTGCAGGAGGCAGGCCCCAAAGCCAAGCGGTCCAGCTGCCACAGCTTTCCCACTCACTCCATCCCCGGCCGCTAGACTGGGATAACCCGCGGTACCAACCTTTGAAGCCAGCACGTGGCAGCTGCATGGAGTAGACACGCTGACGTAGGACAGGTCCATCCGTGGGTGCGAAACGAGAGACCAAGGCTGCAACTCCACATTAGGACTTCCCAGGCCTCGAAGTGCTGGAAGCTGGAAGGGAAGATGGGCTGGAAATGGGTCAGTCTGGATAAATGAACATCCCCTTAATCTGGCGAGATACAGGGTGCTGGGTTAGATATGCCAGAAGAGAAGCTCTCACGTGTGTCATTCCAGACATCAGATAAATGACCGATAGTCACTAAATACCTAGCTAAGCCTTTGCAAAACTCATCTCCGTGATTGCCCCCTGCCCGTGGGGTTGCACACCTACCCCAAAACACCCTAACTGGGAAGCGGTGAAGGTCTGAGTTGGCAGGCGAGTCACTGCACGGCTGAGATGTGTGCTAAGCCTGGGTCTGGTGAACCTGTGCCCGAGCGGCTCTCAGGCATCCCCATATCCAGATCCAGGATTTAGCCCAGCCCCAGCAAAGCTGGTGAGAGGCTTCCAGCTCCAGAAGTAGTCACTGCAGCGGGTGGGGTGAGTGCACTAGTCTCTTCCGGGATAGAGCCGTCCTTGCAATGGAGCTGGTGCAGCCTGGCCTCCAGACGGGTACAACCGCGTATTGGCAAGGCTCGGCTCGCCTCGGCTCGGCTGCCAGGTGCACGAGAAGTGCAGCCCTCCTCCGCGCTGCAGAAACCAGCCCCAGAGCTCATCAGTTCCCATTTGTCCCAGTTGCCAGGTGTGATTGTGGCCGTTTGCCCAGCTGCAGGGTGAGGGGGCCAAGAGGACAGGCCTGCTGGGAACAACAACACACCACGGGAGGGCTGGGAAGAGGGCCTGGGTTTGGCTCCAATGGTGCCACCTGCCTCCTTTCATTCCCATGGGCACACCTCCTTTGCTACCAGCCCCTGGTCAGGATCAGTCATGCCAGGGCAACGTCCCCACGCCGGCAGCCAAGGAAGGCAAGGTCTGTTGTGGGGCACACACGGGCTCCCCTACACACCACAGAAGGCAGGTGGGGTGGCAGGGGCTGATCACGGGGCTTTAAGGAGTGGGTAGGGCAGCTCTGGCCTGCCGCAGGTGGTTGTCCTGGAGGTACCAGCTGCCGCAGGAAGGAAGGAAGTTGCGGAGTCCCGGCGCTGGGCACAGATCCAGCAGTGCCAGGCACAGGGCCGCAGCACAAACATGGTCCCGCTGGCTCAAACTGCCTGGATTAGGGAGGGGGATCAGGGCAGGGGATCCCCCCCCAGCCTGCGCCTCCCGGCCTGGATCCACAGTTTCTCTCCACCCCCGGGCAGGGCCGGCCCGCCTTGTGCAAGGCTGGTTGTGCTGCATCACGCTGAGTCTGTCCCCAGGAAGCTCACGCCCAGATTCCAGGCCCGGGCAGGGCAGGCGGGGCCGCAGCTGAGCGGGTGTCCAGCACTCCTTCCCTGCAGCCGCCGGGCACGGCGGGCATGGGGAGCCAGGCGGGTGAGGGGCCGGGAGGCTGCAGCATCCACTCCGCCGGCATCCCCGCGGTGCACAGCGTCCCCATGAGCGTCCTCATCCGGCCCCTGCCGCCCGTGCTGGACCCGGGCAAGGTGCAGAGCCTGATGCGAACCATCCAGGTAAAGCCGGGGCGGACTGCGGGGCTGGGGAGACCTGGGGTCAGGGCGGCTGTCCCCTCTCCGTGCCTCAGCTGTCCCTAGGGAGGGAAATGGGCCCAGCGATCCCGCCCAGGGCTGGGGGCAGGATGGCAAGAGGCTGGCTGTCAGCTGTCTTGGGTGGTTTCCTCCGCTTCCTGCCTCAGCTTTCCCCATCTGTGAAAAGGGCTTGGGACAGGATGGCAAAGCTGTTGGTTGCCCGGGGTGGCCTTCTCTGCTCTGTACCTCAGCTTTTCCCATCTGTGAAATGGGCTCAGGACAGGATGGCAAGGACAACCTGTTGTCCTGGGCATCTGTCCCCAGTCCCTGCCTCTGCTTTCTCCATCTGTGAAATGGCCCCAGTGACCCTGTCTGGGACTTAGGGCAAGATGGCAAGGGCTGCTTGTTGTCCTGGGCATCTTTCCCAACTCCTCACCTCAGCTTTCCCCATCTGTGAAATGGCCCCAGTGATTCCATCCAGAGCTTGGGGCAGCAAGGGCTGCCCATTGTCGTGGGCCCTTTCCCTTTTCCTTGCTTCAGTTTTCCCCATTTTTGAAATGGGCACAGTGACCCTGTCCCGGGTTCAGGGCAGGACTGCGAGGGCTATTGGCCGTCCTGCAATGCCAAGCATGGGGGCACGCTGGGAGGTGCTAAGCATGGCCCCCTGGGACTGGGGGCCCCGGGGTCGTGCTGCACTGTTATACTGCTCCAGCCTCTCCAGCAAGTCTGCCGCTGCGTGCGGCGCCAGCCCCTCCACATGGCCCATGGCGCAGGGCGGATGTGCCCAGGTGCTGGGCATGCAGGGTGCCTGGGTGACCCCCCGCATCAAGTCCTTGGTCTCTGTGCCCCCCCAGGAGGACCCCGACAAGGTGCCCCCCATCGACGTCCTCTGGATCACAGGCAGGCAGGGTGGGGACTACTTTTACTCCTTTGGGGGCTGCCACCGCCACGCCGCCTACCAGCAGCTGGGTAGGGAGACCATCCCCGCCAAAATCGTCCGCTCCACCCTCCGCGACCTCCGCACCTACCTCGGCTCCTCCACCCCCGAGCTGCAGTAGGGCCCTTGGACCCCCCCGCCGCGGGCACTGACAGCCGGACCTGCCGTGCGCCACCAGCCCTGGCGATGCCTTGTGCCCCCGCCTGCCTGGCTGAGGCCACAAAGAGGCCGCCCTGCTCGGCCCCCACGAAGGAAGGAGCCTCCAGGGACCAGGCAGTCCGTAACGGGCAGGGGAGAGGGGTGATGCTTTTTAATGCCAGGGCTTTGTGTGTCTGTATAATAATAAAGCCAGTCTGGGTTCTGAGTGCCAAGGGGTGGTTGTGTGTGCAGTGTGCAGGGAGCATGTGTAAGTGTGCAGCCTCACACCTACAGCAGCAGGCACATGCCAGCCGCCCGCAACTCTGCAGCAGAGTCCAGACAAAAGGAGGGGCAAAGCCAGGTGGGGTTGCCCGCACCGGAGGGGCACACAGGGCTGCACACATGTAGCCATGTCCGGAGAGGTGCAGGACACGGGGCCATGCATGCGTGGCCGTGTCCGGAGAGGTGCAGGCCGGCGGGGAGCAGCCAGCAGGTGGCATCCTCATCCTGCTTGGGGCGGTCTGTCTGTCCAGAGCTGGATCTGTCCTTCTGGGGCTGGGGGTGGGAGGGATCGCTTTCCTCACGCCCCTCCAGGGCAGTGGATCCCCTGTGGTACCCAGTGCCCTTCGGGATCCTCCAGCCCCGTCCATGCTCCCGTCTCTGCAGTCTGAAGCACTGCCCCGAGCTCGCTAAGGAGCAGGTCCGAGGCTGGGTGTTGCTTCCCCCCTAACAACCTGTTGCACCCCTGGGACAAGCTCAGTGCAGCTGCAATCTGGTGCATCTCTGGAAGGCTTCACCTTCCTCTCTCCGGCAAACCCAGCGAACATCAGGGGCTTCTGCCGGCCAGTGGTTTCCTTCTGCTGCTCTGAAATGCAGCAGTGGGGGCCCCTTCGGCAGGTGCAGTAGTGCCTGGGTGACCCAGGGGCCCGGGGCTCCTGCCAGGCTCCTATGCAAGGGCAGGAAGCTGCTCAGGCCCATCGCAGTGGCTCACCCGCACTCGCACCGTGAGTCAACGGCAAGACCAGCGCCACGTGTCCCAATGCCCTGCTCCTGCCATCGGCCACGCTCCTCCCTGCCTGGGTCCTGGCTGGAGACCTGAGATGACCCGAGCGTTGCACTGGGCAATGCCTCAGTTACGTGGAGCTGCCCGGGAGAGAGCGTGGTCCGTCCGTCTGTCTCCACCTCTCCTAAACCGAGTGTGCACTGCACTGCGCGACCGAGAAGGGCCTGAGACCCCCCCGCCCGGCTGTGCCGCCTGCCTCGTGGCCCTTCCTGCCAGCAGCAAGGCCGGGTGCCCAGCGCCTGAGCGAACCCCCGCCGGTTGCAAGCAGCAGATTGCTTGTGAGCCATTTCCGCCACAGCCTGCGAAGAGGAAGGGAAGGGAAGAGAAGGGCCTGGGGCCGGGCGGGGGCTGCCGAGCCCTTGTGCATCTGCAAGGGAAGGAGCCGAGTGTCAGCGTGCCGGCCGCCGGCGTTGCATGAAAGCAGCCCCCGCCTGCAGGAACTGGCCGCGTGGCCCTGGCAGCTGCTCCCACGGGGGCTGTGAAGCTGGCTGAAGAATCGTGGCGTGCTAAAAAGTTTCCTCTTGCCGGGGAAGGGAGGGAAGGAGGTTGCAGCTCCAGGGGTGCCTGCAAAGGGGGCAGCTTTCAAAGGCATCCTCCAAGCTGCCCACCTCCCCGCCCATGGCACTGCACCTGGCACTGCAGGGCAATCAGTTTCACTCCAGACACCCGGAGCTCCCAGCCTCCCCCTGCACATGCACCTGGCCCATTTCACAGCTAGGTAAAACTGAGGCAGGGAGCAGGTAAAGCTGTCCAGAACAACCACGAACCTCCGAGGCTGCTGCATCTCATGGCTGGGGTTGTCACTCGGGGAGCAGGGTGCAGTGCCCCCGGGCAGTCTCCAGCTCCCTGCCCAATGCAGGCACCTCCCGGCGCTTCCTGCTCCCTGCACAGCGAGCCCCGCGGGACCTGCTCTTCCCTGCTTCCATCTTCCTCTGTAAACAGAACCCGGATGCGCCCGAGCCGGCCCCGGCTCCCCGGCGCGCCGGATCTCAGCCTCTCGCTCGTGGATCCAGAGAGGAGCAAGTCACGGCTCAGGGAAGGAAGGGGCCAGGGCAGGGCGGCAGGGCACGGTGGTCCCCGCAGCCGGGACCCCCTTCCTCGTGCTCGGAAGGAGTCACGAGGCAGCAGGGAGGGCCTGCGAGCGAGGGAAGGGCTGGGCTGGCATCCTCCGGGCAGGCTGGAGCAGGACGGGACCCAGCACATGGCTGCCCATCCCGCCCCTCGCCCGGATGTCCCCGGAGCCAGCTCTGGTTATGTATCTGTGTTTGCTCCGTCTGTGTGTCTGTCTCTCCACCTGTCCCCCTCGCCTCCTTCTCTCTGCCTGACCTGCGAGGCCTCCGGCGCGGCAGACTGACAAACGACCTCAGCTGCCTCCAATCCATTCGTTCCAGCGCAGGAACAAAGGCTCTTTGTGGGACTCGCGCTCTCTTCATCTCGCCTGGCTCGTGAGGCTTCCCCGCTCCGGAACTGGGGCAGACTCCCCCGCGCGACAGGCGTGTAATGCGTTCCAGGCTCCCGCGATGCGCCGTGGCGGCCCTCGCGGCCCGGCAGGTAGGAGGCCGGGGCACAGCCCGGCCTCGTGGCGCTGGCCGGCGAGGGGAGAGGTGCGGACGGTGGTCTTGCGCTGGAAGCTGCCCGTGGGGGGCCCTTCACCAAGGAGAGGGATGCTCCTGCCCTGGGCCTGCCCGCAGCATCCCAGAGCCGTAGCAGAGTCTGCATGAGCTCCATCCTTCCTGGATGCCCTGGAAAGCCCACACCCCCCTGCTGTGTCTTGGGGCACAGAGGAGAAGGGGCCAGGGCCAGGTGCCCCCAGGCCCAGTGCTCTGGGATGTCAGGAACAACATGCGGGGAGGTCACGTGCACCCCGGCAGCTGTCCAGAGACGCATGGTGCGAGCTGGGGCCCGGCTGAGACGGAGGGACATGGAGCCCAGCTCCACCGTGGTAGCCAGGCCCCGGAGCCAGCCGGCGTCACGCCAGCCCCGGCCAGCTGACCCGCTCGCGCAGACCCCGCGCCTCTTCCCGTGGCGGGGTCCGGTTTCCAGTTGAAAGGAGGCCGCTGGTGGATCGCGTTCCTGCCAAAGCACGTGAAGCACCTGATGGTTCCCGACACGCTGTCCATTCCTGGGAGGCTTGGGGCATCTGGCACGGCCTGATCTGGAGGGCATGGGTGAGCTGGTCCGTTCCCCCGCCGGGCCTCGCGTCCCCCGGCTCCATGCCTCTTCTGCACGGAGCCACAAGCGATCCCCACTGAGTGCGTGCCTCAGTCTCTGCTGCGGAAAGTGGATCTAGCACTCGTGGGGCGCTGTCCTCTGCCTCTGCCAACACCCCAGGACCCCCAGCCCTCCCCACCCATGTGCTGTGAACCAGCATCCTTAGCCCCTGGACAGGGGGGTTACATAGGAGCAAGGTCTGGATTGATCCTAACCACAGAGAAGCCATCAGTAGCACCCCAGCCACTCCAGCCCCGTGGCCGTGGTGCCCTGCAGGAGCCAGCACCTTCCGTGGAGCCAGCCGTGCCACCCTGCATGCAGCCTGTCCAGAGCATGGCCCTGTGCAGAGACAGCCCCTGCCCCGCTGCAGGGTTAATATCGCTCGCCTTTGGAGAGGGAGACCCCGGGGGCAAGCCAGGCCTGCGACCCTGCCCACCAGGCCAGGGACACGGGGCAGAGGGGGCTGCTTGGAAGGGCCGCGGGGTCAGGCCGGCCGTGTCCTGGGGCCACACGTGCCCCGGCTGCGTCTGGAACCCATTTGCCGCGGCTGGCAGCGGTGTTTTCCCAGCAGGAATGTGATGGGCCCCCCGAGGTGGGGATGGCCGCGCGGCCCCTCCGGGCCATCTGCTCCCTGTTTGTTTACCTACGCCGCAGTATCACGGCCCGGAAAAACACTCCTCGAAGGGGCACAGAGTGGGGCCTTGCCCTGGAGAGGCCAGCGCAGGGAGAGGGGATCCTGACCCCGGCTTTGCAGCCTCCGTGGAGACCCCTGCATCCAGGACCCGTCCTGCGTCCGGTTCACATGCCGGCTATGGTGCATCTGGCACTGCCGGCGCCGTCTCAGCGCAGCTCTTCCTCGCAGTCCCGCTCCAAGGGATGGGTGACTTGCCCAGGGACCCCCAGGGGGCTGGTGGCAGAGGCAGGCAAGGGACTGGAAGCCCTGACTTGCCTTACCCCAGACTCACGGTCTGCTCACATCCCTCTGGCATCGCTTCCCTCCCCCTGGCTCTGTAAGCTGCGTGGGGCAGGGGGTCTCCTCCAGCGCAGTGGGGTCCCTGCTCCTGGCTGGGTGTCTTGGGTGGTGCTGGAGCCCGGGGGGGTGGCTCATGCATGCTTCTCCCCTTGCACCCCCCTGCACCTGCCTTGCTCCACTGCGGTCCCCAGTACGCTGGGTGCCAGGGCAGCCCTGCACACCATGCACGGTCCGGCTGGGAGGGTTTTTCCTGCGCCACGAGGCTCCCTCTCCTCCTCCGCCGTCAGCTGGCCTCCATGTGCTGCCTGACAGCTGCACCTGAGTACACAGTCCCTGCCCATCCGTCTTGCCGCCTGTCAGGGGCTGGGGGCTGTTCCAGCCCAGCCAAATCACACCCCAGCAGGGGGGCCAGCATGGAAGAGCCCCCTGCCCGGGGAGGGGAGGGGGGAAGAAAAGCTGCGCTCCGAGCTCGGGAAGGCCTGGGACACGGGCTGGTACGTCTCCGCATGGAGCCGTCATCTCCGAGGGCCCTCCCAGCCCTCCGTCTGTCCATCACGCCCGGGGCCGGGGCCGGGGCCGGGGCCGGGGCCGCGCATTGAGTCCGGCCTTCTGTCATCGCTGTGCTTCAGCCGCCCCTGGTCTGTGCGAACAATGGAGCAGCCGTGCACGTGCCTGGGCAGCTCCTGCTAGGAGCCATCGAGGTCTCCACAGTGCTTTTTGCTTTCCCCAGCCCGGCCTGCCTTGGGGGGTGCCTGCCGCCCCCCCCGCCCTGGGGCTGTCTCCCCCCCACGCCCACAGCCTTTCTTTGCTAGATCCACAGGTAAAGCGCAGCCCTGGATTCGCACGCAGCCCTCGAGCCAGGGCCGCTGCTCCAGCCCAGGCAGGGGCCACCAAAGGGCAGGGGGATGTGGGCACTGCTAGGGGACATCGGGTGGAGGGGGAGCGCTGGACACCTGCCTGGATGATGGCGACTTTGGA